GGATTTGAAAAAATATATAAAAAATAATTTCTTATAAATTACAGCATCAATACCTGAAAGTCTAATTTGGTGTGGGGGGAGGGGGATAAACAGCTTTTTTCTTGGGCTAGAATTTGTGTTTTGACAGGTCTTGATTTTGTCTTACAGGGTGACATTTTGGGTAGATAAGCACAACAGTTCAGGAAGGCAATCTGTAGAGTGAGTGGACATGGTTAAATCTAAATGAATGGCAGAAGTGCCCAACAAACACAACTGACAAATTTTGCATTAAACCAAAACAAGAAAAAGAAAGGAACAGGAAAAAAAAAATACAAAGCAAGCAAACAATATACGCAAGGCAAATTATCAGTAATAAAGGCAACATAACAGTAATATGGCAAAGAGTTCACAAACTAAGAATTAGGGTTGAAACAAGAGCAAATTTGGATGAATGAACTGAGCATTCCAATTTCAAGGCAAGACAGACTAGGACTGAGTCAGATAACACCAAGAACCGGCCTATTTTATTAGCTAAGATGAAAACCCAGCATGCATTTGTGTGCTTCTTCCAATAAATTGGGGAGGGGAAATCATGCAATCATTTATAATTAGGACTGGAACCAACACAGTTCATCTAGAGGAAGGAAAACCTTCATTTTAAACCTCTGCTACCTTGTGGTCATATTCAAAACACAGAAAGACTATAGAAATAAATACAAACAGAAAACCCAGAGTAGAGTCCCAAAGGCAGTTGGATGTTAAAATTGACAACTTTCTGGTAACTCCTGCAGCCAAGCCATCCTTAAATGCAATGCCCTGTCTTCCTTTGTATTTTGTCTGTCTGGCAGAGAAGGGGTCCATGTAGTCTGGGCAGTGCATGGCCTCCATATACCAGTGAACCAACTTTCTTAGTAACAGACCTAGCAATGGATTCAATATAATTATTCCATTTCATGTCAGTGGAAAGACCAAGAAAGCACACCGAGTTTCTCTTTTGGAGGTTAGCATAATTTTAGCAGTTATGGCTTCCCATAGTAAGAGTCAATGTAAAGTCATTTAAAAAGATATGCAAATGAATGTATGGTTGTCAGTAAAAGGAACAGCCCAACATGTGAATTACAAATTAGAGACACTATGTAGAAAATGTTTTAACACAATATGGAAATGCAACACTGAAATCCAAAGATGCATTGGCACAGTGCAAGACACCTTACAAAAGATAAGCAAAGTATTAAGAGGCATTAAAATTTTATTACAGAAATGTATTTCAACAGAAGGGTGCTAAGAATATCATGGACTAAACATGTGACAAAGTTTTATAAAAAAATGTTTACAAAAAAGATACTTATACTTAACATTAGAAAGAGATCATTGAAATTTTTAAAGCAAATAATGAAGAAAGGTGTAGAAAATTTAACACTCAAAGGACATACTGAGGGACAGAGGAAAGCAGTGCATACATAACCTACCCAATGAGCTTGTGTAAGTGATTGGCAGAACAGGGATTAGGAGAGATAGCAAAAAAACAAATTTTACTAAGTACTGCAAAAGACAGAGCATTCTGTAGAACCATGATTGTCCACATCCTGAAGAGAGACATAGCACATAGAAGAAGAATGTCACTGAAAATTCATTAACTATCCATCAGAACCATGGAATCTTTTTTTAATCATTTCACTGCAAGCAAGGATATAAAGCCACTAAGATGCAAGGGATTACTGAGTGTGAAAGAATCTGAGAAAAATCATTAAGGAGGGAGATTATTAATTTTCTTGTATTCTGAAACTACATCATGTTTTTCTTAAAAGGGTATTCAAATATGATTAAGTTATATAACTTATATTTTTAGTATAAATTAAAATATAAATTATATACGAGTAAATTATATATGAATAAATTATATTTATTCATATATGAATAACCATTTTAAGAAATGCCTAAGATCCAGTTTCAGAATACAAGAAAAAATTATAATTTTAAAAAAACATTTTTTAATTTTTCATGAAAATAATTAAAAAAAAAATAAATATAAATGCCAAAGGTATTGTATTGTAGCTTAAAATAAAATGAAAAAAAAAGAACAAGACACTGATGACAAGTAAACATAGGAGGAAGTCAGTATCAATAGACAGAAATCTCTAACACCCCCACCTAACCATAACCTACTTTCAATTTGCCACATTAAAAATTATACTTGTATTTTCATTTGTCAAAAAAGCCAACACCCCCTTAATAAAAAATTCTCAATTCTCATTACCCGACCAACTTAAAATATCTAGAATATATGATACTATTTGGCTTCTAAATAGAGTAAATCAGTTGTTTTTTTTTTTAAGTTTATTCTTAGCATTGCTTGAAAATGGAATGAAACTTAAAATTTTAAGTTTAATTTAAGGTATAAGTTTTGGTTTCAAAACAGTAATTTCTGTGTCACAATGGAAACATTTTTAAAAAAGTAATTATAATATTATGCTCTACTGTGTATTGAGCACTGTTTTTTTTTAAATAAATGCTAAAAGAACTCTGGGTTATAAATCTGTTCTTTCTTTTTATTATATATATATATATATATATATATATATCTCCGATGCAATGAGAACAAAAGCAACATATAAATTCTAACGTTCACACCATTAATCCAAAAGAGGGTTCAATACCAATAGTAGAGCTATAATTATTTCATTGAGGTGCAGTTGAAATGCACCAAAACAAAGTTGCATCTTTGTAGTGAGTAAAATGTTTTTGTCTATATGATAAAATTATTATATATATATATATATATAAATAATAGGCTGGTTAATAAAACTTGAAGAATAAAAAGCCAATATCAATATTACCAATAAAATTGCTATTTATTATATATTAACCTTTTGACTGGACTGAAGACAAAGTGACAGATTTTAATGTCAGAATTTTTGAACATGCCTGTGTTCTTTTTCCAATGACATGAGGAATAAACAAAGTGGGATTTACTCTTTCAAGGAATGTTGTTGGTTAGAGTTCTCCCTGTAGAAATTATACTCTCTGAGTAAACCCAAATCCCTGTTTAATCCATAATGTGTTAATTTATTTTGAAAATAAATTTCAACTCTGTGTCTTTCTTCTTGGCTGTTGAATGAAGACACTAGAAGCATGCATCTGATTTCATCAACGCTATGAAATGATTGGTTGAAGTGTGCAGTAACAGGGAAATTGTTGCTGTTGTTCCTGATGGATTTTTTATGGTTATTGAACCCAAGAACGGAATTCTGTTCTCATTTCTGCCACATAGTTACCTTTTTTTGCATTTGTGGCAGAAGAACAAACATATAAGATTTGAACTGTCACAGTTAAGAGCTGGTGGTTTGAATACTCCTGTGAGTACCAAGGGTATGAAACTGCTATCAGTGACGAGATGTCTACTGACTTGGCATCAGGGTTTATCATAAGTGACACTTCTTTGGTGAGCTGTCAAATGATGTATACCTGATGATGTTAGGAGTGTGAATGTATACCAGAAAACCACAAATCTTTATTCATGTTTGGGTTTGGCAAAATTCTTTCAAATTCATTCAGTTTGGAAAATGTAATTATCTTTTTAGTATGCTCTTCCTTTACAAATCTTCTTAACAATTTCTTGATTCTGCTAAAAAAATCATCTACAAGGAAAGGAAGCAATGTTTTATTGCTCTGATATTTTACCAGAAACGGTTCAATGTCTTTCAAAACAGACACAAAAGTCTGCAGTTTCACTAGAAATAAAACATCATTCACGTTTGACAACACCTCAGAGAAGGACTTGGTCTGGGGGACATTTTTTTGTTTTTTTTTTTAATTAAGTTCACAAATTTGATGACATCTGGCCAAATGTCTAGGAGTCATTCATATGTTTGCATATGTTCTAGCCATCTATGGCAGAAAGACACAAGTAAGTACCTCCACTTTTTTTGCTAAAAAAGCAGCATAGCATGATGAGAAAAGCCTCAAACTTCATAACAACAAAATTTTACCGTCAAAATGTTTATGTTATTAAGAGGAAAGACCAAAGTATTTTTTTAATTATTTTATTAAATATTTTAATCCTTTCTAGCACAACCAAAATTTTGTTTAAAAATCTTGTTTTTTTTTTTTTATTTTTCTATTTTTTTCCATCAGTGGTCAATGTAATATTTGTGATTAAATTCTTGCAAAAATCAAATAATTGTTGGATTTTAATGAAACTTTCAAAACTTATTCACAAATGAATGAACTTATTTTTGAAATTTTTATTTTAGAATATCCATAAAAATATTTTCTAATATTTACTGCAGTAATCAAGGTATTCCTGTATGTGTGCACACACACACACAGGTGACAGTGTTTCATGCTTAAATGCAATCTTCAGGCCATGTGTATTATGTTTTGGCTTGACTATATATGCCGGTCAATGGTGTATTATGGGTATTTATCATTTGTGTTTATGCATACATTTCTAAGTTATTAATTGGTTTACTTATTTATTGATTTGTAATTTTTGTTTATTTTACTTATTTATTTCATTCTTTTTTTCATATTCATTTTTAGCTTTCAATTTTTAAGTAATGTAGTAAAAATTTGTTTTAATGTCGGCATTTTGAGAGGAATTCTGATTGTTTATTTCCAAGGAAGGTAATTGTAGCTATTTTCTCCTCCAGACAGAGTTTACAGTTTTGGGATTTATTATTGTAGGCTGATGCCGTTTTCTTTATTTTCCATGATATTTTTGATGTGATTTGATTTTTGTTTCCCATATACATTTAGAAAGCATTGTGCTGTTTGCATATTTACGATTTGTAAAGGATGTCTTGTGTGTGTAGATTGTTTTCAGGGTATTTCAGTTACTCCTATGTATATTCTTTCTTTATTATCTGCTGATTTTATGGTGATAATCTTCCTACCTCATGTCAGCAAAAATGTTAGCCCAATTTATAAGATTTTAGATGAAACTCAAAATAAAAATAATGCAAAAGGTCTATAAAAACAAAGTCTTCAGACAGTTAACTAAATAACTGATATGACGACTATTAGTAAGAAAGTAAACTAACCGAAGAGATGCTGGTGTGATTAGCCAACATTAGTCCACTGACGCGATGGGCAGTTGGGATGTAAGGAGATTTTCGTGACAATGCTACCTGGATGCTGGCAGGACCCCATGAAATAAACTGGGCAAGCTTACGCTCTCGAATTCGCTGTAAACTTTTGTGCACCTGCAAAAAAAAGAAAAGAAAAAAAAAAGATATTTTCTTTGGTTGAAAATTTATGCAAAGAAGCCCTTATTTTGTTTTTCCAAAGACTGCCCTTTCTAGCAGTTTAAAATAAAACTGTAACAGAATCATTTCAGATTCAATCATATAATGACATTGATAGTAGCATGATAATGGTAGAATACAGTGTTTAGAATTTTGAGAATAGTGATTATTATTGCAAGAGTTGTTTCAACTCATGATCAGGAGTCCCGTCACTCATCAGGGTCATAAAGAGCACCACATAAACTGCAACAATAGCAGCATTCTTGTGTCTTGGGCAAGATAGCCTGATAAACCATCTCCAGACTGGTTTGAATTCAGTTTTCCTTCTAGATTGGTTGCCAACCAAGGTTACAGAAAACACTCTGTTTTACCAATAGCTGGGGAGAGAAGAGCTGGATTCATACCTTTTCTAAGGTTACTTGCATATAAATGAATATAATGAACTCGATTTGAATTCCAACTCATCTCTCTGATTTCTAATTCTGAGCCACTATCCATTATGCCATCATATATCCAAAGGTGAATGAGTGAATTCATTGTACTTCTTTTGTTATCATTTGTGTTTCTTTTGTAACTTAGAAAAGGTTACTGAATGAGAAATAACCAAAACAAACATTGGAAATGAAATGGTAATCTTTATAACATCTACAAAATACAGTGGCATGAAATAGGTAAACCACTTCTAGTAGTGGACTACTTAAACAGCATATTACCACCACTTACAATAGTGTCCAACATATTTCTGAGGATTGGGACATACCCATTAGTGTTCATAGGTACAGTATATAACAGTTTCACAACTGAGAATATTATGTAAGTGATATGCTGTTTGGAAGGCCTAATTGCAGTTAATTCATATTCTTTATGGGGAGAGTGCACGACAAAAAGATACAGTTGAAAATATTTGTGTATTTCTTATTCCTTTCTTGTACATATAACTAATCCATGTATAACATTTAGATAAAGACATGGATAGGCAACAAAGATTGGAATGGATAAGGAAAAAAAAAATGAGATGATAAAGGTAAGTGTTTATATTTCTGAGATGAGGTATTATGTACATTATTTACATTATTCGGACTATTGTCCTCATCTTTGTCGCCATATTTATTACAACATTTCGACCTTTCAGTATCTGTCTATATTTCTGAGATGAGGTATTATGTACACTATTTACATTATTCAGACTATTGTCCTCATCTTTGTTGCCATATGGGCGTACAATGGCCGAAACCTTGTGATAAATATGGCAACAAAGATGAGGACAATATTCCAAATTATGTAAATAGTGATAAAGGTAAAGTTTGCAAGATTGTATTTTTTTTTTTTTTTTATACAGCTTATCAACCCTTTGCAGGTTATTTAAAGTTGAAACATATATTGGATTGTAAAAATACTTTGAGAGTGAATATTGCATTTTGGAGATATGATTTTTTTTCAGATAAAGTCCTACTATTTAACCCATATATTGGGTAGAAGTGATAAATTCATATCTTTCCCAAGGGTATTTGCCCTTAAGTGAACATAATGAAATTGACTGGAATTTGAACTTGGCTCTCCAATTCTTCTCATTCCTAGCCACTATTAATTACACCACCGACACATCCCAAAGAGAGCAAGAAGTATAGAAACACAATATAATATTAATTGCTAAGATATTCAGATAAAATATTAATTGCTAAGACATTCAGATAAAAAAGTATTAGAAGTAACAACACAAAAAATATTAGTTATTGATCAACATCTTCAAATCAACCAATCCTAGTCTTCCAAAATATTATATCAAAAGAAAATAAACCAATAAACAAAATAAATTTTACCTGTGTTGGGTCGACTTCACCTTGAATAATATTTAATATAGAAATGTAGCAATGCTTGTCTTGACGGTGGATGGGAGTAGACACCATCATATTCTTTGGCTGCAACAGTCGCCTCATAACATCAAAGACTGTTGTCTTCCTCACACTAGCAACCTGAAGAAAACAAAATTTTCCTTTTAACATTTTTGCATGAACTGAAACAAAGAAGACTTACAAGTCTTGGGATCTGATCAAGAAGCTCTTAAGAAAAAAGAAAAAAAAGGTATTTGGTGAAAGGCAATCATAAGTAGCAAGCCACTTCAATGAAACCATAAATTGTCTTTTCACTTCGTCAAATCGTTCAATTCACTGAAAAAGTTAGAAAACTAAAGAGAACTTTTATATCTGAATAATGCTTTTTTTTTACATTACATATCATTTAATAATTTAGTTTTTTTTTTTTATTTACAATAATGAATACCTTTTTCTCTATAAAGTAAATCACTGAAGTCTTCATTTACATGAAAACAGTGCTTAATATTTCATTTTTGTCTCTTGAAATATTTAAAAAATACTAAAAAAATGACAAAAAAAAACAAAATCCCTATGTTTAGTAGCATTATCAACTCCTTTGGGTCATTTAATGTAGAAATTTAAGTTTTTGGGGAGCATTAATAATTTCATTTACAAAAATGTATTGCTGGTAATTTTTATTTTTACTAGGAACATGTATTTCTGGTATTTTTATACTTTCATAGTGTTTTGACTCCAGTTTGGTGTTAAAATATTTGGCCACTGGTGCTACCTAACTGCCAATCTGGTTCTGCACTTGAATTCATAAAGTTGATGTACCAAAGAGGAAACTATCATCATGAAAATATTTATAGAAAAGGCAAAGGGAGGCTATGTTATGGCAGTGGGAAAGTGACTGAAGATGAGATGCCAGGTTAGGACCAATAACATACCAAATTCTTTGGATTTTATCAAGAATCTCTAAATACATAGCAGAAGCACCAGGGCAGATCTGACAGCAATATTCATACTGAATATCTAACTGCCTGAAGAACTGTCACTCTGAATAAAGAATTTGTTTTTTTCACATTCAACTCTAAAATGGACTAACATCACAGAATGAGTTATTTTGGAATTGATACTTTTATATTTGTAGGATATCCAAGAATCATATTCACCATTTTAAGTATAGAAGATGAGATCTAAAGTTTTATGTACCAGAACAATGTTAGGAAAATTAATCACAAAGTAGAAAGAAACTTTGTGCAAACATTTTTTCCTTTAGGACTTTGTCAGACTAAAGTGATGTTTATGTTGATGTAACTACATATATGCATGAAGGGGAGTGGACACTGATATTTGACGTTAAACTTTTACTTAATGTGTGTTTGCGTATATAGTCTAGCCGATTTAATTTATATTCTTTTTCATTTTGCTTATGTTTTTATCAACTTTTTATACTATTCGGTATCCCACATTGTGATAATAGAAGATCTGCCAAGAAAAGTTAAATGTTTTAAGAACCTGGATGCAAATTTATTATGGATGATTTAGTGATTAAAACACTTACTATACACTTCTTTCTTAGTAAATAGTCTGATGAAGCCCTATAGGACAAAACATGTTGCACAAAAAATTTTTCCACTTTGTCATTAATTTTCCTAATAGTTTTAAATGTAGACATGATGTCACTGTCCAACTTGCAAGCAGTGAAGCTTCTTTTCCCCTGAATCTTCTTCCTGGCTCAACAAGAGAGAAATTGATGGCATCTAATATTCAATAATAAAAATTTAAGAAAACAGGGAGAATTGAGCTTACTTGTGAATCTGTTGTTAGAGGAGTGTATCCAGTCATCAAGAAATGAAGACGTGGTGTTGGAATCAGGGAGGCAATCAACCCCACCAAATCATTGTTCATGTATCCAGGATAACGCAAAGTAGCAGTACTTGTGGACATCACTGTAGAGACCTGAAGAAAAAAAAAAAAAAAAGAGGAGATAACTTATTTTGAATAAATTCCTGCACTTCAGCCTTTGACCCTTTTGATAACATTTATGTACAAGGGAAATAATTTGTGTATGTTAGTGTTCTTTAGATCTTAGGCAGCAACATCTATTAAAATTAAAAAAAAAAGAAAAAATATATTGATTTTTTTTTATCATTTTGGAATGGGGAGGGGGGCTCTGTTCAAAATATTGATATAGTGAACCATCGATCTATGACTTTTACAGAGTTATTAGAATCAGTTGTTATTTACAAATGTCAAGTTTGAGTGTGATATCACTAATATCTACATATTTAATTTTCTGAATTTAACATTTTTTAAAAGATATATATATATATATATATATATATATATATATATATATATATATATCTGTATGGTATTTTTTCAGAAGTGCAAATACAAACATTTGAGATTAATAATTATTTATATTAAATGAAGAATAAATGGATGCATTCTGTTACTAATTCATACAAGTTTTTGTTCTTTAATTAAAAATGTATATGTCTGTTTTTAATTTAAAAGAAATCTTTTTAACACTCCCCGCCCCCAGGTCTGTTTGCATACATGAAACAACTAGGTCCAATAACTCTGTAAAAGTCAAGGACTGTTTTGATAGTGTATCAATATTATAAACAAGACCTCTTTCTAAATTTGAAGAAAAAAAAAAAAAAAAAATTTTTGATTTTGACAAGTGTTGTAGTCAAATGAATGTTTAAAATATTCTAATGTATAAAAATGTATTTTTTTAATGAGCGGACCAGTCTATTTAACTAATACCCAGAGGAAAGATATTTTCTTGTAATTGCCAATATAATTAATAAATAGTACAGACCGGAAATAAAGAACAAACACTTGGCAAGTCTTCATATTGCATCCTTTTTACCTCAGGAAACTTGTTTCTTTGTTGAACAGCATATCAACTTCTTATGGGTCATTTAATGTCAAATTTAATTTTCTTGAGAGCTTCATTATTTTTTTTTTCTTTCTTAGAAAAATCTATTGCTGGTAATTTATTTTTTTTAAATTTATTTATCTTTTTTAACCCCAGTTTGAAGGTTAACTATTTGCCCATAGCTGGGACCCTAATAGGTGCTACTACCCCAGGTCTGGTGGACCTGGAAACAACAGCAATTAAGAGGTGTTTCCACAGTCCTCAAAACTTCCTGATCAGTTTATCATCATACCCAAGAGAATCCTCAGGAAGCCCATTTCCCATAATGGCAGCTATATCACTTGAGCTACGAGAAGCCTACAGCTGGCAGACTAACAATATAGTTTACTCGATAGCACATGTAACTCAAAGAGAAAATAATGAAATAATAAACATGCTGATGTTCCAGACTACTTCAAAACAAAAAGTTAGAAATAACAACAGTTACTGAACTTGAAAAACCTGAGAAATTTTTTTTAAAGAAAGATTTTATAAATTTCAACCAAAAGTAACTGGCTATTTAGTCAAATATTTTCTTATAAGGAAATGGCTAATAATAGAGATTAGAACAGAAGCTACACTTTGATTCCAGCCTGATGACCAAAGAGTGAAGAAAAGTATAACTAGAGTAGCACTGGTTACTCGGTCAATGAATTCCAAATGTTTCCTTATAAGGAAACAACTAATATTACCATTAGAGATGAGAACACATACTACAGTTTGATCCCAGTACAATGGCCAGGGCGTGAAGAAACATGTAAATCGAGTAGCACTAGCTGTTCAGTCAATGAAAACTGAATGTTTCCTTATAAGTAAATAGTTAATATTACCATTTATATTTCTCTGATCATTAAAGACCATTTTCGTTTCTGTTTTTACATACATTAGTCATGTTCCTCCTCAATGTTATTCTCTTGTGGAATATCCTGTTTTGAATTGTTCTTCTTCTAGTCTGGTTGCCAACCAAGGTTAGAGATCAGTCTGTCTTGCTATTTAGTCCATAGCTTGGGTGGAAAAGAGATAGTATCATAACTTTCCAAGTATAATTGTGTGAATGTGTACGCAGCAAATTTGTCTGGAATTTGAACTGGGCATGCCAGTTCAACTTTCCATGGTGATAACCACTACACTGTACACATATCATAGATTCATGCATAGCTGGAAGCAGAAGATATGGATTCAGATTTTTCCCAAGGCTATTTGTATGAAGGTGAACACAAACTTGACTGGAATTTACATGCCGATTCTACTTTACTCATAACTGCTTTATGCACATCCTATTAGCAGTTTTATGTTGAATTTTACTATTATTGTTTACTAATGGTCATACACTGAAAATCTGAGTAGTCATAATGAAAAGTAGCTACAATTAAGTTGAAAGAGATACAAGTTGAAAAATTAATGGTTGACAATGCTTCATCTCATTAAAAATTCAAGATAATCCAACTATATAATAATTATCAATTATATTTTTATATTTCCTGTGAACACTTTAATTTTATGGGTTTTTGACATCAAATTGAAGCCCTTTCTTTGCAAATTTTTATTCATATTTTTTTCATAAACTGACTTGCTACATTTACATTTTTTTTAATGAAACTATGTTAGAAATTTTCACTATTTTTCTTCATATAAATCTTTACCTTTCAATAATTTTTATATTCTTTCTTAATTTTTATACAATTCCAAAATTTTCTTTGTTATATAAATAATTTTTATAGAAATGTAAAGAAAAAAATGTTAACAGCAATCAACAAACCAGATAATGTATTTATCTATATTTTCCGTCTGTAGTGGCAAGGGAAGTAAATCAACTTAAGTTAGTAAGTTACTTCCCTTAGTCATTTTAATAATCTAGACAAATAAAATATTTATCTGCATTTCGACCAAATTAGTTCCCAAGCAAAAGGAACCGTTTAATTAATTTGTTCCTTTACTTGTATGTTTCTTGGATTGCAGTGGTTTTTTTTTGTTTAAGCCTTTCATGTGAGGCACTCAGATTCCTTTGTCTATTAAGTGCTCATCTTGCTTCAACTTATGCTTTGTCATCACGGTCTTTGTCATTCTGTTGCTAATCTTTTAGTTCCGAGAGATATTTCCATTTCATTATTATATTAAACACACAAAATTTTTAACATGAAAAGCTATTGAGCAAAAGAGCAATTTATATAATACTAGGAGTAATCAATGAATTATAGATACCATTGAATGTCTAAAAAAATATAAAGGGAACAGATTAATTAAACAGTTCATTAGCTTCTATTTTAGTTGTGAATTCTTTATCTCCACTTTAGTGAATCTTGGTACATTGCTTCAAGATTTTTGTTTCATTGCATCTTACTATTAAATCTTTCTAACAATTATCATTATTTTTGATAGCACAGTACCCTAGTACAAAAATAAAGCAAATGAAAAAAAATAATGGTTGTATATGCTTCATCTCATAAAGATTCAATATTACTATGAGTTAATAAAGTAAGGCTTCCCATGGCCTAATGGTAAGGCATACTTAGTTACAAAGTGGTTTCCTTTGACTGAAAAAGTAAAAGCAGTTTCTTTAGTAGAACTTTCAATGTCTCACTAATTGATTTTAATTTCACTGTTTAAAAAAATAGCTATGCCTACTAAAACACATTTATAGTAATAAGAAATATCAGATTAAAAATATCCATTAATTACTTCAGAATTAATTTGCATTTCAGGCACAAAAATAACGTGAACAGACAGACATCAGAATGTCCCAACAAGAAATGTGCAATTTTTTTTTAAATAGGGTAATAAATTAAGATGAAAGATCTGTCATAAATTAACAATGGTTGATAATACATCATCCAATAAAAAGACCCAAGATATTATTATTAGGACTGTAAATAAAATGGCTAAAAAATAAAAGAATTACTAGTTAAAAATTAAAAATGGCTGACAATACATCTCCTGATAGGAAATAAAAAAAAAAAAAAAAAAAAATCATCATCAGCAGATGATATCAAATTATATGAAACATCTGAAGAACAAAACAGTATATGATCATTTCTTAGCAAATATTAGTCCACAATTTGATAATTAGGCAAACAAGTGTGTCAAGTTTTTAGATATTACTTGGTATCTTTAACCATTTAATGCTCATAATAACCAGTATTAATCAATGGTTTTGACCTGTGGATGGTGGGTACTGATGTGTTAATTCTTTGTTTTAAGATGACCGTCATTATCACTCATCGTTTACGAGGACCGTCATTATCACACACCGTTTACGAGGACCGTCATTATCACACACCGTTTACGAGGACCGTCATTATCACACGCTGTTTAAGATGACCGTCATTATCACAGACGTTAATGTTTTTTCTAAGTTTTATAAATTTTTTTTTGAGTTTTAAGTCTGGCAAATTTTTAATCAATTTCACACAAAATTTACTGAATTAAAATCATCTTAATAAATCAAACTTAAAAAATTCTTTCTTACCAACGAGTTGATCTGTGCAAATGTTGGATTTTCAATATGAAGACGGTCACAAGCGATTCGATGCAAAGCTGTGTTATCCAGGACAACCTACAAAATATTAAGTAAAATATAAAAATATTTTACACACCTCTTACCAAATTTATATTTCTTTTTCCTAAAAAGTATCTTTGAGGTTTAAACTTAAATTAAAACCTACACAGTTAGCCCTGGAGTGACAAAGATTCTAAGAAAGAAATCTTGTAAGTTTATACAAAATATTATTAGTCTGCTAAAATTTTTTGAAAAAAATTTCTGGAATTAAATTTGACCAACTGATAAAACATCAAATTTTTATCTGTAGGGTAGATCTCTTTGGTCAGGCAGAGAACTTTTTCATATGTTTATCAATTTTAAAAGCTTCCAGTTGTGTATCAGACACATAAGTGGAAGCTATTAGATCCAGCCTAAACTTTGTCACTGGGCATTACATATTATATTAATGAAAGCTGTCAGCATAATAACTCAAACTTTATCAAAGTGAGCATCCAGGTTTAGTAACAGCCATAACATGCATATATATTGCTCCACAATAGGTAAATATACAAACACATATATATCCAATTCAAAATATTTTAAAAATGGATACAAATATATACATATCTAGAGACTTATACTCTCCTATATATATATATATATATATATACCTGATACTCCTCTGAAGCGTGGACAGACAGGTCTGCCGATGAAACTCTGGAGTTGGGATGCTGGAAACATCAATCAGGTAAGTGCTGACAAACTTTTACTTATCTTAATCCTCTTTCTCATATATATGATGTAAATATGTAGGTATGTATATTTTCTGTTTATACATACCATTTATTTAAGTAAATGCTTTGTTTTTAATTAAACTGTATTAATTATTATGTTTACTTAAATTATATCTATAAAAATAATGTATAAATAGAAAATAGATTAAATAAATGTCAGACTTTATCTATTTTATTGTGTGTATATATATATATATATATATATAACAATGAATCATTCATACAAAAAGTAAATTAGTAAAGTTAATGATATAAAATGGAGAAATCCCTTTGCTAACTTAAAATGCATTAACCTACTAATCACTTGAAGTCATCTTCAGTCATGGAAATTATTTTGTTTTTGGTAAAATTCAGGTAGCATCCGAGACTGAAAATATAATACGAATTGAAACAGATTTTCCCAAAAGATTCAAGTTTGTATCCGTTATCAATAACACATTAAAAAAAAAAAAATTTCGATTCACATTATATTTTTTCATCTTGGATGCTACCTGAATTTTACCAAAAATAAAATTTCCGTGCCTGAAGAAGACTGAATGTACAGCCCAAAGTACTTGCGTATTTAAGAAAGACCTTATACAGCTTATAATTTTTTAAAAACAAAGATCATAACATCTGAGGTACAATGGTTCAGATTTTAATCTAACAATTATACAATAATTTATATATTAAATATATATATATATATATATATATATATATATATATATATATGTGTGTGTATGTGAAAAGTGTATATAAATATAAATAAATATATATATGTATAATTATTTATATTATATACATGGTACTTATTAGAAAGCGCTCAATATCAGAGATAGAGCTAACATATTTGGTTGGATAGATGTGAGTTTGTGACCCTGGTTTTTCACGCTTTAGCGATTGTCTGACGATCAGTTTTAAAAGCATGAAACCCAGGGTCACAAACTCACATCTATCCAACCAAATATATATATATATATATATATATATATTCCTTCAAGATAAACAAATTGTGATTAAGAGATGGAACTTACCACACAATCTGCATTCTGTGTGAGCCTCTTTAAAGTCAAAAGAGAGTTATATGGTTGCACAACCACATCAGAGATTTCATCAAGATTTGGAAACACAGAATAGGTTTGTATAAGTTTCTTTGGGAATCTGAGAAATAAATCAACAAGAAAAATTTACAAAAATTTTACAGTAAAAAAAAAGAAAAAAAAAAGCAAAAAACAACCAAGGAAAAAAATATTCAATGGATGCATGACAAAAGCAGACATTGAGACAGGAACAGATTATTTTTCTTAATTGAGAATACTGAAAAAATGTTCCTCTGTAACTTAATGTTAAGTGCTTCTTTGATTCATGATAGTGGTCTCCATAGTAAATATCAACAGCTAGGGGTCAGTGGGACTATTCAAAGGGTCAATAAATGACTGGGGAGAGTAAAGGGGAGGTTGATAAATACTTGGGCCTCAATGGTTTGGTTGTTTTGGTTTAGCGGCATATCAACACCTCTATGGGTTATTAAATGCCAAAATCTAAATATAAAAATTCAAACCTTATAATTCAAGAGAATGACATTATTTCATGATTAAATTATGATTACTTAGCTGCACTGTTTTAAACAAATAATCTTCAGTCAGTTATGTGCCATGCATGATACACGCTTAGGCCATCATGTATCTTTTGATACATTACTGACAAGGCAGTTTTTTTTCCCCGCAGTAGGTTACCATTTCTTTCTGCAGTAGACCAGTTACCATCCAAGGATATAGAACCAAGTCTGTCCTGCTATTTACCCATAGCTTGGGGGGGGATGAGAAGAAGATTCCTAAAGGGTATTAGCACAAATGTTATGGATCTGACTGGAATTTGAACTCTGTTCTCCAATTCCTCAGTCTGAGCCGCTTATCCATTACTCCACCGTGCCTCCCAGGAAATATAAAAATGCACATTAATAATTATTATATGGTTTGAGTACCTGTTTTCAATATGTACTTTTAGCCTTTATGAAACTTACATTGCCTGCTATCAACATATAAATTTTCAATATGTATTTATGCTTTTATGAACATAGTACAGACCAAAAATCTGGGGACACCTTCTGGATTTAATAATAAATAAGTTTCATTCCTTTGTTTACAATTTAATTAATTTTTACTAAAGTTAGTATATGGTAAATGTTTAAATATATTTGCAGAAAATGGCATCAAACTTTTGAAGAGAGGATCAAAATTTCCAAAATTTAAAATCATCCAACAAAGACAAAAAGGAGATAAATTTTTAAGAATCTATATATTTAATGGGTTTTATTATTATTATTATTATTGAATAAAAATGAAAACCTTCCAAGGAGATGAAAGTAAATGGCCAATATGCACTGGTAAATTAGTTTCAAAAAAAGGAGTTTCAATCTTCAATTCCAAAGTGATTCTTCAAAATTTAGAATTGGCACCATTTTGATAAAAAAAAAAAAAAAAAAAAAAAAAAAAAAAGTGTACATTGCCTGCCATCAACATATACTTTTGAAAAATGTACTTATATGTATTTTGAAACTTTTTCATTTTACCTGCTGTTGACAAAAAATTAAAGAAAGAATGTGATTAAGATTTTTGAGTAAAATATTTGATTCTTGACTCACCTGTCATTCAATTTTTCCAGCATGTAAAAAAACCCATGGATACCCTGTACCTCCAGCAATAAAAATAAAAAGAACAAATAAAAAAAATAGTTTAATAATATTCACAATTGATTTGTTTTTTTAAAGTTTAAATTTAAAGGTTTCTGTCTATATTTCTGAGATGAGGTATTGAAAATTATTTATATTATATTACATTAAAATCGGACTGATTGTCCTCATCTTTGTTATAATATTCACAATGTTTTGGCTGTTGTATGTTTGCCTTAAAAAAGATCTTTTTGGAATTTCAAATTATAAACTATTGGCAAAAACCATCCATAGGATTAATGTTCTAGTTAAACGTGCCATACCTATTCCTTTTATCAGTTTTTCTCTCTTTAACTCAATATAAACCAATTTTTTGTTCACCTCAGCTGTAGCCAGGTTTGAACTCACAACTCTTTGGGTTTAATCACTGGATTCAATCAATTTTTTTTTATCCTCAAGGAAATATGGTCCAGTGAGGTGAACAAAATTTTTTTGAATTGAGTTTAAGGGTGACAAAATGATACCAGACAAAGGGAAAGGCAATGCATAATGGAAAAGAAAATCTCCAAAAGAAAATAAGCAGTTAGTTTTAAAATTCCAATCAATTTAAAAAGATTAAAAAAGTATACAAATGATTTGAAATATTGATTGACCTTTGGAGTTATTTAAAGCCAAAATATATTTTGGATTGTAAGAATAATTTTTTTTTGACAAGTATATTGTATTAGTAATCTTTTGGAGATGATAATGACTTTTTCAGATACAAGTCCCACTATCTAACTCATGGTGAGGAAGAGATGGATACATACCCTTTTAAAAGAATTTGCATGTAAATTTAAAAAAAAAAACAAAAAAGAAGTAAAAAAAGGAGGCATTAAAAGATACTGATCATTTTGATTGATTATTTTTTTTTGCAGTTTATCAACTCTTTCTACCTTAAAAGCATTAAAAAAAAATATTCAGAAAAATTAAAAAGGAATATCTTTTGTGAGACAAGAATTTTTAAAGGAAAACAATTTAGGGGAGATAATTTGATTTTTCCAAATTTAAATTTTATTTAAATCCCAAATATTGTAGAAAGAAATAATGGATTTTTATTTTTTCCAACAGTATTTGTTTTATTTGAATGTCATGAACTGGAGTTTTCATTTTTCAGCTCTTTGATTTCTCATTCATGTTCCTATCCAATATGCCAAAAAAATATTCTAATAATTAGGAGAAAACAAACAAAAACAAAAGTTTCCCAAAAAACCACTGAGTTTCAATTCTTTCTTTAACAAGTGCTTTCATATTAACTCTTTAATTTTCATTATTGATGATTACTTTTATAAATTATGGAAATTTAACCACCCATTCTCAAATTTGAATTTACAATTTAAAGGGCCAATTTAAATATACTTCAATCTAAAGAAAATTTGAAAATATATTAAGTTAGGTTAAATGATTTGAAGTTTTTAAAACTAATTTGTCACTTCTGAAATGCCAACAAATAAAGTTTAAACTTTCATTTTAATGCCCAAACTATTGTAAAATTTTAATCACAGATGCAACTATATTAATGCTATTTGAACAATACTGGTATAGACAGCATTTTTTTAAACTTGCATTAATAGTTGAAAATTTAAAATTGATAATACTCACTAGAATATTAATAAATATAGAGATCCAAATAAAGAAATAGTATAGTGAATAAACAGAATAGAGGTCCATATAGTGATAGAGTAGAAATAGCAGATCCAAATAGTAATAGAGGATAGAATAAAATGCGATCTTAAAGCATTGAAAGGATAGAATAGAACTAGTGATCAATCAATTACAAGACTTAATATATATGTGTTTAAATATATGGTCACATGAAACTTAATTCAATGTTGAAAGATATTGTATTTTTTTTAGTGATCTCAATTTTTAAACTCAAAGTGTTTGACCAGCGACACTTTATTCCTATATATCAATTCACATAAATAAAAGGCTCAATGATTAAAAGATCAGTTGCAAAATTATCAAACCAAGCTTCAAATAGATTAATTAGGTCATTAAAGTTATTTTTTATACTCCATTATTTTTAATAAATAAGACCTTATGAACCAAATTTTTTTTGCTATTTAACCTATTTGGAAAATTCATTCCCAGAAGCAAAAAATTAAAAAAGGAAAAGAGTCTAAAATTCTTAAATTTTTTAGTCATTGGCAAAAACCTATATTCCACAAGTTTTTTTAAATAAGCATTGAACATTGAAAAATTGGCATTGTTAACCTAAATTCCCCCAGAAAATTTTTGCCAATAACTCATTATAATGATTTGCACATCCTTCTAATATATTCAACAAAACACAAAAGCAATTTTAAATTTTTAATTTAAACTCAACTCAGACCTCAAGTGGAATGCATACATACGATCTACCACTAAAAATGCTAGAAAAATGGTTGGTTCCTTGTACTGTTCCAGTATGTACCTGAATGCTATTGTTATCCTATATAACTTTACAAGAGCCAGATCAGGCTGAAAATGTAGTACTGCCACCTAGTCTTAACTTTCCATTCGTGATAGAGTCAAAAAGCATCTCCATATTCATGTGGATGACAAATTATTCCCAACCCATAATATTTGAAAAAAAAAACAGATGAAACATTGAAAAGCAAAAGTCAAATTAAAGAGAAAAGGGACAAAACTTTTTTCCGTCAAAAAAATTCTGACAAAATGCAAAAAAACAATGTACACCAAACAAGGTGTAATGCCCTTCTGCCAATTTCTTCATTTTTACCTGCTTTTATGGAGCCCAGACACACCTCATTAGCATGAGGTAATACAGCGACTTTATGTGTAATAACAAAAATAGTTTTTGAAAATGAAAAAAGTCCACGGATGGTTCATCTTGGACATTTTTTTTTTCTCAACCCACAGGCCAGACAAAAAAGAAAATACAATAAAAGCCTTTTATATATTAGGGGGTTAGGAATGTAAATGTTCTTTCCATGGAAAGTGTTCACATAAACTACATTCCACCAGTTTTAACCTTCATGGGTAAGACCTGCCATGCCACAGACATTGTAGCAAACTACCCTCATTCTTTACTGTTGTAACTAAGGGAAGGTTACTGAATAGAATAATCAAACAAAGGTTGGTAATTAATGATAATACTTAGGACAAGAACAACACATATAAGATTCATCAGCGGTGCATAGAAGAAGTAGTCAACTGCTAGAAGTGAGTCGAGTGAATTCCATAATGAATCTCCAACGGTAGACCAACATACAGTATTTACTACTGTATTTATGTGAATGGGGACATACCCATTTTCATCTATAGATATGCTACAACACTTACATATTCCACTGATGAGATTAAGTTCCACCTGAGCAGCTTCTTCCAACAAACCTTGTGCAACCAATTCCCAAGAGGATGCTTCCCCGATCACTACAATCTTGGCCTGTTCAAATCAAGGGTCAACTTTTATCTTCTTCTTCCAAATATCTGCATAAATTATGCCTTAAACAAAAAACAACTTCTGAACACCAAGTGCTTTCAACTAGAGTATTTCAATATCAAAGGTCTCAAATTTACACCCACCATTAATTGAGGTAGCAACTTTGAGGAACAGCACTGCAAATAGTAAGAGTTCATTGTCTTACTATTTAACATGTTTAATTGGAACATTAAAAGATTTATCCATTTTTTCAATAAATTAAAATTTTAATGAATGAAACTTTTATTAAAAAAAATTACTACACTAATAATCATCATGCAACATATTAGGATGATACTAAAGATTTATTGGTAGAGGCATTATTTTTTTTTAATCATTTCATGTTATTCCATAAAATAATGCCATTAGGGGTGTTACAGAGATCAAAAAAAAGAATAAAAAACTTTATATTGTTGAAAAGCAAGGAAAAGGACAATAGAAGAATAGGATTCAGAAAGACAGAAGATAGCAACTGATGTTATATATACTTTTTTGAAGATTGTAAATGGCAGGGATATTTAAAAGAAATTGGAAGGGAGTTCCACAGGTGAAAAAATATGATAAAAAAAATATTAAAATAGATGTTGACAGTTGCATCTAGATAGTTTAACAGTAAAATAGTGAGACCTAGTTGCCAATCTAGTAGCACACTTAAATTAATTAAGTTCAGGCACTAAGGAGAACAATTCATCAGAACAACAATTATCCATTTTATTTATAAAAAGACAGAGGGAAGCCACACAGTAATAAATATCTGGTTTTGGTAGTTTCAATGAAAACAAAATGTAATAAAAATCACAGAAAATGCAAAATATATTTTAAATATAACTGAGATATCATCAGAACTAAATTCATCTATTGCCTATCAAACTTGCTATCAGAGTCAAGAATGACCTGCAAGGTGTCATTGGCATTCCTAAGGTTGACATGACTATCAAAATTTCGTCTCTTATCAGTAAAACTCACCAAATAAATAAATAATTTACAAAAATATGTTTACTAAATAGTAAAAGCTATATTTAAAGGTTGAATATAAAAATTTTGGCTTCTCAACTGGTATTATTAGAAACAATTGTTGACCTGTCTGAAAAAAAATTTAACTCTCTAAAATATACATAATGTAATTAGACTTCTTGGCATAAACCAAATTGCCTTTAAGAAGTGGAAAAACTAATTGACAAGATTAATTACTTGTTAATTAATAAGGATTGCATTCCACATTAAGTTTTAAATAAAATTCAATTATTTTAAATTGCATTTTATAGCACACTGTTTTTAAAATGCATACCAATGCAATATTCTAAGTTTAAATGGAATAATTGAATAATGAATCAATTAGTTTTAGAGCAGCTAACAAATATGTTCAATGTTACACTTTACTTCAGTTCAAAGCCTGTCATTTTATAATAGTTTCATTGTTTTTAACAGATTCCACAGCATTCTTCAAACATTTTAGAAGTCAGCATTTAAAAAAGAAAAGAAAAGGGAATGAATTATTTAATATAGACAAAGAAACTTGAAATCGTTTGACACATAAGAACTTTTCAATCATTTCTTCATACAGTTCTAAATTGTGAATCATTCAAATTTTTACTTAAAAAAAAAAGTATAAAAAAAATTAATAAATAAAAAAATCTTTTTCTCAATTTTTATTCTTCAAATCCAACAAATTGAATTTTGAATATTTTTTAAGAAAATAAAAAAGAAACAGATAAAGAAAAAGGAAGAAAAAAGGAAGAAAAAAGGAAGAAAAAAAAAGAAAAAAAAAAAACAAGAAAAAAAAAAACCTGAAAAAAAGAAAAAAAAAAAAAAAAAAAATTTTCAAAAAAGGAAAAAAAAAGAAAAAAACAAATTTTAAAAAAAAAAAAAGGAAGAAAACAAAAAGAAAACAAAAAAAAAGTCAAAGAAAAAAAAAGGAAAAAAAAAAGCTTTTTTTTTTTTAAAAAAAAGAAAAAGAAAAAAAAAAGAAAAAAAAAAAAAAAAAAAAAAAAAAAAAAAAAAAAGAAAAAAAAAGATTGAAAAAAAAAAAAAAAAAGGAAAAAAGAAGAAAAAAAAAAAGAAAAAAAAAAAAAAAAGTTTAAAAATTAAAGAAAAATCTGAAAAAAAAATTAAAAAAAAAAAAAAGGATAAATTTAAAAGAAAAAAAACAAAAAAAGTTATTCATATACAAGCAGAACAAAAAAAATCTTCATCTCATCTTATGCAGCTGTAGAATTATCTAAAATTCACTTTTGTCTTTTTGAAAAAACAAAAAATGAATGAATCTTTAAATAAAAAAACTGTCACTTAGTATCAAGAAAGAATCTTTAATCAATGATGTATTAAATATTTCTTCATACAACCTTTCTCCCTGAAAGACAAGAAATTCTATTGTATAATATATGTTAGAAAAACAATCATTTAAACATATGAAATTCCATGTGGATTGATATACAGGATGCGATGGGCAAATTGCCGCCATTTATGTTTTTCATTTTGAGCATGCTTGTTGTTTGTTTTTGGATTTTCTTGGCTGTACAGCATAGCAGGGTCAATTGGGTACTGTCTGTGAGAAAATGAGTACCAGGACAGAATTCACTCCACCAGAAATTTGGAAATGGCATGCTTTATTGCTTGGCATTAAAAAATGCCAGAAGTTTCAATATGAACATTTCAGAGTGTTTGGATGTCAATCTGAGGACAATGCAGAGGATTTGCAAAGAGTTGGATGAGACTAATAGTGATTACAAAAGTGTTTGGAGTGACCACTAATAATGGTAATGTTATACCTCCATTCATTTTTCACAGGGCCTCAGACTCAACATGGAGGCCTACATCAAGTGCAGTGGTAGTGCTGCCCTGGGTCAAAAGGGTGGCTGCTGAAAGAGCCTATGTCTGGCCACAGGATTCTGCACTATGCCACTCAAGCTGTAGAACCCAGTCATGGCTGTCAGACAATTTCTGCAACCGCAATCTGGTCACCTAACTCCACCAATTGCAATCTCCTTGATTATTATGTGTGGGGCATAGTTGAGCGAGAGACCAACAAAACTCCTTGTAGCACCAAAGATGAACTGAAGGCAAGGATTATGGCAGCATTCACTAACTTAAATAATGAGACCATCCAGAAGACTTGCAGGAGATTCTGAAGTTGTTTAGAGGCCATGGTTGAATGGTGATTTTATTGAATAAATTCACTTTAGTATTTCCATATATTTTTTGTGTAATTTTGGTAAATATATATTAAAATGAGATGTCATTGTTATTTTCATTTTTGCATAATTTAGATGACACTTTATCCATCGCACTCTGTACATACTTTTTGTAATTTCTAAACATTTAGTGGATACACATTTTTCTTTAACAGTGTAATTGTTGTCTATCAGTTGTGTAATTTCTTTCTGAAGTCCTTATTTTTGAAAATTTAATTTCTGTATCTATAAAATATCTCTCTTCTAAAAATTCCTCCTCTTCTTTTAAAACTAAAAGTGCAGAACAATGCTGCTACATTATTGCAAATTTAAAAAAATTTTTTGTAACGATTGGTTTTTGCGTGATTTTTCAAATTTTTTTTGGACTAGATTAGAAGAATCTAGATATTTTAAAAAAATGTGTGTTTGTGTGAAGATGAGTTGTCTTGCAATGAAAAGAAAATTTGCTTTTGATATAACTTTAAGTTTCTGATTGTATTTTATAAAATAGTGTGATATAATAATATAATCTTGTCTTATATAAATAATAAAAAAACTTTTTTTGCTAGATTCTGTTCCAGTAATCAAGTGAATTATTGTTCTTTAACAAAGGACAAATCAATAGTTGGCTCCAAGGACAATATATAAATACTTATCAAAAATTCGGTTAAAGTAATTCAGTAAAAATTTTTTTATCAAAAACATTTTCAAAGTCTTCTTTCAACAAATTTAAAAACGAAAAAGCAAGTCAGTCAATTGTCTGAAAACTACCTTTCTTGTGGAGTTATTTCATATATTGGAACGAAATCCATTTTGATGTAAAAAAGTATATGAAAAAAGATCTAAAAGAAGTTGAATTTTGTGCAGAGAATTTTTGAAAAAACAAGTCTGCATTTATTTAAAACAGAACAAACTTATCTTCCAAGGAGAACAACTCAAAATATCTAAAAAAACCTTTCTGCCCACCTACTAAAAAAAAAAATACTTGCTTTTTTTTGAACTGTAAGTCTAATTTTTCCCTCTTTCTGCTATCTTACGAAAATACTCTCTCTGAAATTTTTGGAGACCTTTTTAGGGCTGGGCCAAAGGGATGAAAGGCAGCAGTTATTTTCAAGTTGTACCAGTGAACTTTAACATCAGACTTACATGTTTTAAAAAAATCATTTTATTTTTTTTTTTCCCTCAATAAATTTTTGCAAATTTCAAGTGGTTTTTCCTCCTTCTTTATCTCACTTATTATGGTTGTATATTCATGGTTTCAGAATGTTTTTTTGTGTTTTTTTGAGATTCCCATCATTGGACGTAATAACAAAGTTTCCCAACCTTTTTTTTCAGAGTTTGGCTGTTACTAAGCTAAATTTCGACATCCTACAGAAAGTGTGTCCTTCTTCATGGTTCAAGCATGCATCCCTCTTATGTAGTGGAAACTTCTGTTAGGATCTTAATGAGAGATGTACAGTCTTTCATAAGAAGAAATGAAACTTACTTTGCTATTAAAACCCTTAAAAAACTATGCTAGTCTATACAGTGGTTTCCCCTACATAAGGGGGATGTAAATTTGAATCCTGCAGAAGGGCAGATTTTCTTTATTAAAGACTCTTGAAAATCTCAGGATTGTAGCTGACAATTACACTGTTTAAAAGAAAGAAAAGAAATAAAAATGGAGATATTTACATTCTTGTCCCCATTTTTATTGTCATATTTATGACATTTCGACCATTGTACAGGTGATATACCATTCTTCAGGTGATATATGTTGGAATTTCAAGCCAAACATGTTTATTTAGTCCATTGGGGTAGATTGTTCTCGTTTCACATACCATGCCCTTTCTGAATTTCTCAGTTTCAATTAATTTCCTTCAGTAACTCAACTCTCCAAGTTTTTGTACACCGCTGCTGTGGCCAGGTGTTGAACTCACAACTCTTTCATTCAAATCACTTCACCTGGCCACAGTAGAGGTGAATGTCAACAAAAATATTAAACACTGTTTATTTATTATTAAAATTATTTATTTATTATATTGTTTATTGGAATGATTGGCAAAACATCAGCTAATTGTCAATTGATTCAAACTTTATAAAATGGTAAATAAGGATATACTTATAGTTGGTTCACATATTTTAATAATTTAGCATTGAGTTTTTTGTACCGTAGTCTATTGTTGCCTATCACATCTACTCCTCCTTAAATTCCACCTGATAGTGCAGGTATTAAGCTAGTAATTTCTATTTAAAATACACCAAATATTTTAAAAAGTTAAATAGAATGCTTTTACATTTTTAAAAATTCATTTTAAACCTTAAGTATCAAAACTGAGTGGAGGTACCTATTATACACCAATCTTCAGAGCTCACAGATACTACACTAATCTTAGGCAAAAGTGTTGATTCATAATAAATAATCATGCTAATTTTGTGATATTATGGAGACCCACATAGAAAGCAAACAGGTAACTTTATCGCAATTTCAAATGATTCTGTCTGAAGTCCAGCAGATGGTTCCTTTTGAAGTTTCGTCTTCTAAGCAACATCCACTTTGACCAAAGGGTAATGGAGAAGTCAACAAATATATGAGAATATCTGTCATATATTTCTGAGATGAGGTATTATGTACACTATTTACATTATTCAGACTATTGTCCTAATCTTTGTTACTATATTTATCACAATGTTTCAGCCTTTCAGTATCTGTCTATATTTCTGAGATGAGGTATTATGTACACTATTTACATTATTCGGACTATTGTCCTCATCTGTGTTGCCATATTTATCACGTTTCGGCCTTTCATTATCTGTTTATATTTCTGAGATGAGGTATTATGTACACTACTTACATTTATTCGAACTATTGTTCATCTTTGTCACCATATTTATTACAATGTTTTGGCTGTTGTATGCTCCGGCCTTCTTCAGGTGGTTGGAATGCCGAACTGAACTCTTGATTTTGTTCACTGGGGTAGGCTGTTCTGGGTATTATAAACCTGGATGACAGTCTTTTGGAGGCTGTTCTAGTTCCATGTGCCATGTTTTTTTGTTTTTTTTTAATGGATGTCAGTTATCAGTAATCTCCTGTTAATTCCACTATTTGGGTCCTGTCACTGGATCTAACCAATGCCTTTATCCACTGTGCCATGTGTCCTTGAGAACATCTGTGTATGAATTTCTGGGTATTATAAACCTGGATGACAGTCTTTTGGAGATCAAGTGAGAACAAAACCAGAAATAGGGTATATCCAGGTGCTGGTCTATATTAATAGTCATGCTTTCGATTGGGGAGAGTTCTGGTTCATCCTTGGTGGGAGATGGACATATGCACTGTGTGATTCTTGCGTCATTCATTCGTATTGACAGATATCACATCGGGATCAGTAGATGGGCAAGGAGTGGTAGGGGGAAAAAAGTTGTCCAAAGTATCACCTACCTAACCAACCAGACGAGCAGATGAAGACGTAAATATAACATCTGTTTTATAATATGGGAAATAGGGTTCATGTTCTTCAATGCAGCATTGGTCTTTCATAGTATTACCTTGTGAGCAGCAGCAGGTCTTTTAACAATTTTTAGTGGACACTGACAAGATTAAGAATCAATATGGAATGTTGGCTGGTCAGTAGAAAGCTTGGGTGAGGGTCATATTGTAGGTTTCCATTTTTGTACTATGCTTATATATTGTCCATAATTTTCAAAAAGTCAGTCAATCCAAGAATTTGGGGGGAAGGGGGGGGAAACAAGATTTTTTTGTTATTTATGTTACTTCCACAATATTTCAGTCAATCCATTATGTGGCCTTTTTCAGGTATATTATCTGTATAAACAGCAGTTCTAGCAGTATTAATAAATTGTTACTGTTAGCACCATTAATTTTAACATAAAAGATTGAGGATGTATGAAATGAAGTATAAAAAAAAATTTGAATGGGTTGTGATAAGTTTTTATTTAATGACATAGCAAGTCCTTAGAGGTCATTTAATGCTGAAATTTAATTTGGGGGAGCATTAGTAATTTTCTTTACAAAAATGTATTGCTGGTAATTTTTTACTATGAATATGCATTGCTGGTATTTTCACCATCAAAAATGTATCTTTATACTTTCATAGTGTTTTGACACCGGTTTGGTGGTTAACTATTTGCCTATAGCTGGGACCCTAACAGGTACTGCCACCCCAGGTCAAGGTAGACCTGGGAACACCAGCAATTAAGAGGTGGTTCCATGCTCCTCAGAACCCCCGAATCAGAGGTATTGCTGCCAGATGTAGTTTATCATCATACCCAGGACAAGCGATAAGTGTACATAGAAGAAGAAAAAAAAAAGAAATAAAAAAAGAGACAACTGCCCCCACCCTCATTTGGTTTCCAAACATATTAGGCACAAGAGAATAAGTTTTGCATTAATCCATAGAACAAAAATGTATGTATATATATTTTTTTTTAACCTACAATTCATGTTGTACTTCAAGAGACTTTACAAATTGACTGATTCCAGTGTCAAGGAAGCTAAAACAATGAGAGCTAATAGATTTGTTTCAAAGTTCACCTACATTGACAGCTATCAATTTCAAGATAGCTTTATCTACCACTGAGGCTTTATAGTTTGGATCATTCTTACTTTAGATATTTATCCTTGATCCAGCCACCATGAGTGGACATTCCAGGAGTTAACATTTCAAAATACACCGTTCTTAAAATCATGGGCACATGCAAACTTCTTACCCATAAACACCCTCTAAAAGAAGCAAGAATTATAAACAAACAAGTGAAATAATTCTGACCTGTGAGAATCCTACAGCCCAGTTGTTACCAGCACCTCCACCTTGTTTGGACAGATAAACATTTTCAGGATTGTATAGTTTAGCATATGGGGAGGTCATAATTGTATGTATGACCCTGGGCTCCAGATCCAACAAGACAGCTCGAGGTATGTAATGTTCATCATCAGCCTGAATAAAACAAATTTATAAATAATCATCACAATAATAATTTTTCAAAATAGTTTTCTGTATAGTATTTTATTGGTATCTTTTTAAACCCATCAAGTCATAAAAGAGAATGAACTGATCACATTTTCATAATTTTAAGTCTCTTAAAATTAAAGAATCATTTAGCAAACTCATCAATTATCTTGTATTATTTGTGAAGAAAAACTTTAAGAAATAAATTAAGATTTGATATCAAAGTTCAAGTGACTCATCTGGTTAGCTGACTCAAAAGAGTTTCACATCAAAACACTCAAGGCCAAATGTTTGAAAAATCAAACCCCAACGAACTCACTCAAAATTTTCTTGATTTATTTATAAGATATAATATCCATACTGCATGGATATCAACATAAAATAAAATTTAGTTAACTTGTATTTTATGGAGAAAGATAAAATTTACACAGCATTTAAAATATACAAAAAATTTATTAAGGCTTTAAGCATGTATAGTTATTAAATTATTAGAAATTTTATACTCTTCAAGTAACAGTTTCAAATTGAGCCGAGCACATTTCCGCTAAATATTTGCATTTATTTTGTGTCTACAGCTATGTCTATGCACCAGGTATAAATAAAAGAACAATGTATCAAGTAATCAGTTCATGGAGAGTCCTAGCAACAGTCCCATTTGGAGTAATAAGAGGTGTCATTCTATTTAGTGTGGTTTTGCTTCGCTTAACTGTTACACAGGACATTAATGTGAACTATTTTAAACTTTCAGTTTTCTAAAGAATACCAGGATGTAACCAATAGAATCTTGCTAAATACACAGACACTACATGGTGCTTGAAAATGACTGTGGTGGTTGAAAGTACTTGAACAAAACAATGGAAAATGAATTTTGGACAGTTTATCAAAAATTTATATACAATACCTGATTCGAAAACTGGAAAAATACAATGAAATATTAAACAGACAAACTTTGTCAGTTTTATTTAAATCAAACTTGTTTGGATATATATATATATATATATATATATATATATATATATATATGATGGAGTCATACCTTTATCAAGGGTATTAACATGGAAGTGAATGAGTCTGTCTATATTTCTGAGAAGGTATTATTTACATTATTTACATTATTTCGGACTATTGTCTTCATCTTTAAAAGCCATATTTATCATTTTTTTTGGACAAGTTGTATGCTTCCTTCTTCAGGTGGTTGGAATGTTGAACTGAACCCTTTAAGGCAATGGAGAACTTTCAGAGGAAAATTAACAGCTGACATCCATCAAACATGGCATGTGGAGCTAGAACAGTCTACCCCAGTGAGTGAAATAAAGGGTTCAGTATGACATTCCAACCACCTGAAATAGGCTGGCATTATCAATTTGTTCAAGAAACGTTGGATAAATATGGTGACAAAGATGAGGTGAATAGTCCAAATAATGTAAATAATGATCAAAGTGTAAATTTAATGAACCTATTTTTGGAATTTGAACTAGATAAATGAATTTTTATTCCTCAAATCCATAAACTTTCCATTATATTCCACTGTGCCATTTAAATAAAAATTCAGAACAGACTAGGCTGTGAAGCACTGGGTGGCTAACAGTATAGAAAGGTCAACTCTGAATTCAAAACCTGCTAAGGATTGTTTGGGGACCTTATAATATTGTGCACCAGTTCTCTGTATTCAGTTCTTCCAAAAAGTGTGGTTGGTTCTGCCCAAGCCTTCACCACTAATCAAATGATATGTGTGTTTCATCAGGCTTTTCAGTTCTAAGAACTCAGCTGCTTCACCCTCATACGTTGAAAACAATGGGAGATTCCAATATATATGAAATCCAATATTTTTATTACCTCAAATGTTATTATAGTGGATAATTTTTATTTTAAACAGTGTATTAAGTCTACCAGCACCCCATGCATATTTGAGGAGTCTTAATGAAAAAAATGTGCTCTCTGGCAGAAATCAGACCTGCATTCCCAATTTTTAAGAATATGTCATTAGCTAATAGACTTAATATGCACTTTTTAAAGTAAAAATAAAAATGAGGTGTTTATTTCAAATACGAGTATCCATTATAATAACATTTGAAGTAATCTTACTTATTATAAAACACAGATTGTGTGTGTATGTGTGTCTGTGTGTGTATGTGTCTGTACGTTTATATATTGGATCGGATTTCCTACATTTTTCAACCGATTTCAACAAAACTTCACAGGACTACGTAAAATTACCTTGTGGTGGTTCTAACAGCGCCAAAAATTGGAAAAACACAATTGTTTTTGCACAAAATCAATTTGAAAAACGATTAAGAGGCATCACGAGAATGAAAGGGAACAACTCATATCGAAAGTTATACTTATTATAAAACCCAGGTTGTGTGTGTGTTCGTTTATATATGGGATGGGGATTTCCTACATTTTCAACCGATTTCAACAAAACTTCACTTTTTTTTTTGGCAGGTAGTGTTTCTTATTGTCTTATACACTTTTTCTTTTATTTTTACATTCAGAATGCTTTAAAATTCCATTTACAAGACAATTGTTTCTAATAAAATTCTATTCAATCGGTAGACTCATAACAATTGAAAAAACAATGTTTTTTGTTTGAGTTTAACCAATTAAATAAAAAAAAAAAAAAAAAAATAATTATAAGACATGCGTGTAATCAACCTTAAACAATAATCTTTGTCAATTTTATTTTTCAGTCTTTATGATGGTCAATACTTGATCTATCTCTTACTGTTACATCCCCGGGCAATGCCGGGCTCTACTGCTAGTAAGCTCTAAATGTGAGATATAAATTGGTGACGTCCGAATAAAACAAGTACAGAAATTTAACTGTGAAAAGTTATAACAGAGATATATAAAGGAAAATAAGAAGAAAGGAATAACTATCAATAATAATAGAATGTATGGTTGTTAGCAAATGGGTAACCCAAGATACAAATACAAAATGGAAATGTCAGAATCAAGCAAGTACAGAAATTTAACTCTCCAGGAAGTGTTATAACAAACAAATGGAAAATACGACACCAACATCCAAAGACACATTGGAAGAATAAAAGACACCTTCTAAAAACGAGACAAAGTATTAGGAAATACAAATGATAAATGCCAGACTTCTATCAAATTCAAAAACATAAAAAGAGTGATAGACTAGTGGGAGGCTAGTTTTACTACATCACTAGTTTTGCTAGGCTAGTTTTGACTCAGTCTTATTATTGCCACTTTTGATCACAAAACTTTTTTTTTTATGAATGTCTTATTAATATGTCTGCTTTTATTGTTCTAACCAATAATTCTGCATCTCCAGGAACTGCTATCAGAGATAGTGAAAGAATTAAAATACTTACCTGGTAGAAAAATACATCTTTTCTGTCAAGGCCTTCAGTTGCAAAATTTTCCAGAATGCCCTCTAAAAATGGAAATAAAATCATTAAATATATATATATGTAAGCAAATATATGGATATAGATCCGACAGCATGAAGAAAAATATATATGAAAAAAAAAACAAACAAAAATCCTTATATACAATTATGCTGTTTTAATGTTAATATGCCAAAACGTTTGCATATTAACATTAAAACAGCATAATTGTATATAAGGATTTTGTTTGTTTTAATATATATATATATATATATATATATAAAAAACTATCAACAAGAAAATAGAATGTATGGTTGTTAGCAAACGGGGGAGTCCAAGATATATAGTGAAAGTGCTCTACTGTTTATAGGATTTAAATATGATAATTTCTATCCCTAATATTGACAACATTAACCCATAAATATAGCATACCTTAAAACTAGTTTTATCATATATATATATATATATATATATATATATATATATATATATATATATATATATATATATATATATATATATGTGTGTGTGTGTGTTAGTTAAAAATTATTGTCTGGCTGAAACATAAACTAAGTCACTAGAGTGAAATTCTTTTGTTTGATTTTAAATTCAAAAATTTTCATATCTAAATTTAAAATGATTTTCTTAAGAAATTTTTTACCCGTCTATCAAACAATATGTATAAAGGCATCATTTTCTTTATATGTATGATACAATATGTATAAGAACAATTTTTTTTATCTGTCTATGATACAACATGTATAAAGACATAAGTATACAGTATCTTTTTATTCAAATTACAACAGGCACATCTTCACCAATTGAAAGTTCCACCATAAGCAATAATTTTACATGTAAATTCAAAACAAAAAAAGTTAAGTATTTGTTATCCATTCACCCAGACAGATGGGGAAATTATGAAAGGAAATAAGCTGAACTAAGTAGATGATTTCAGCTACATTGGTGCTTGGATTCAATCAAGTGAAAAAGAATATGGAAATCAGAATTGGGTATGCCTGGAGTGCACTAAGCAAAATAAAAATGGGATGTAAGTCAAATCTCTGAAAGCATCTAAAAATAAGAATTTTGAGCCACAATGGAAAGAATATTGCTCTTTGGTACTGAAAGCTGGACTTTGACCCTTTAGCATTCATATTACACATACACACATATATTTCTAGCCCCATGCATTCACAATGTTTGTTTCTGTTGCCAAACTTTCATAAAAAGATTCTATCAAAAATAAAGACAAATAGTTAGCTTGCCTGGCATCCTTCAACAATGAATGCTTATGCCCATCAAGTTACAAAAATGGTAGCAAATTAACATTGTAGAGATTATGTGTACACTCAAGATCTGACACATGTCAACATTATTACCCTGATTTGAATCAGTCAGTTTATCACAATTAGTCTCAGAAATGTCGATATCTGATTCATCATGCATTTCTTGTTTTTTTTTTCTTCAGGTTTTCCCTCGGATTCTAGAATAACCTAGATTGTATATCCATCAAATGAATGCTCTGAATCATTAAACGCCATTTCATTATGATGCTTGATTTTTCATTGTCAGAAAGGATGAAAAATAAAAAAAAAATTGTAAAACTTGTATTTTCTTTGCTAATTGAAAAAAAAAAAAAAAAAAAAAAGAGATGGTAGAAGTATCATGTGATCAAAGTCTCATTGTTTACCTGACTTCCTGTGTTATTTACGACAATGTCATCATATATTATTGCAGGGTATACATAGGCCGACTTATGACAGCTTGAGAACTGACCTGGGGGGGGGCGTGTTTGAGTATGTTGAATGCTAAAAGGTTAACAAAGATGAGTGATAGGCTTAATAGAACACACACAAAGATTCCCAGAGCTATACTTGGTGTATCATGCAAAGAACACAAAAAATATAAGGTTGGTTTGGTTGATTTTTTTTTTTTAGCAGCATATCAACCCCTATGGGTAATTTAATGCCGAAATCTAAATAATTTGAACACAATTTTATGACTCCCACTAAATATATTTTGAACGCAGCTACAACTACAGATAAAATGTATTACTGGTCATTTTACTATAAATATGTATTTTTATATTTTCATAATGTTTTGTTTGGGGAGTTCACTATCTGCCCATAACTGGGACCTTAACAGGTGCTACGACCCCAGGTCAGGGTGAACCTGGGAACAGTAGCAGTTAAGGAGAGAAATAAAAAAGAGATCTACAGTAAACTGCAAAATATGATGAAATCACTATGGATTAGAAGACTACAATTCATTGGGTGCATTTGGAAGAGGAAAGAAGAGCTGTAAAGTAAAATACCCTTGAGGGAGCCTCAACACAGAAAAAGGATATAGGAGTGTGGGTGTAGAATAAAGTAGAGTAATTTAAGTTAAAGAAAAAAATCATTGCCTAATAAACAAGCATAGAGGTTATTGAAATTGTATTTCTGAAATATGATATATTTGACAGGGCCAGTGGACAGACACAGGTCCAACCCAGCAAGAAAGAAAGGGTAAAAGAAACAGAATGTGGCAATGTCTTTATTGGTCTTTGAACTAATTAATCAGGAACGAGCAAGAAGGTGAGATTTCTGTATAAGAAATGGATTTCCTTCTCACAACATTTTTATTGAGGTTTCTGTCTTGGTAGGAATTGGATGTTAAAAAAAAAAAGGAAAAAGAAAGTAAAATGCTGGAGTAGGTAGGGAAGTTCTCTTATTCACTTTTCCCCTCCTCCATTGCTGATGAATAGTCAGCAATATTTTCATGCTAAATAAAATTTAGTCAATACAAACTTGTGCCATTTATTATTACAAGTAAACCTTCTGCTTGGAGGAAAGATGACTTTTGATTTTTAGAGAGAAATTAAGAAGTTGTGACTTTGGATATTAGCCTGAAGATAGCTGAGGTGGACCACTGTGAAGTGACAACTATAGTTCACCTAAACACCAGCATGAGCCACAGAGTATATAGTGATAATACTACAGAAAAAGAAGCAAACTGACTAAAATATGTACATAAGAAATAATTCTCATTTGAGGTGAGGACTAATGATAATTATCCCAACAGTGCCAGATTTACATATAGTAGTATGGCCTGCAGCCTCGAACGCCCGAGACTAGAGGGACCCCCTAAGGGATCTCCTGCCTTGTGGTCCTGATAAAAACAAAAAAATTTTTTTTTAAAAATCAAGATATTAGAAAAGAAGAGATTTATTTATTTTCAGATTTAATTTTGGTTGGTTGTTTTTGTTTAACAACATATCAATCTCTATGCCAAAATCTAAATATTTTATATGCAATTTTATTTTCTTTTTGATGATAATAATGGTTTAGTGACTCATAGCTGAAGAAAGAGGCGGATTCATACCTTTTGCAAGGTATATTAACTGAATATAATGAACCAAACTGAAATTGGAAATCAGCTTTCTGATCAACAATTCTGAGCCGTTACGTTACTCACAGATCCAAGCTTACAGCACCCAGTATTCCCAAGCAGTCACCCATCTAGGTACTGACAAAGCTCAATGTTACTTAACTTCGGTGATCATACAGGAACTCAGCTCCCCGATTAATAATTCAGAATCATTATCCATTACACCACCCACACATCCAAGCTTACAGCAGCCAGTATTCCCAGGCAGTTACCCATCTAGGTACTGACAAAGCTCGCCATTGTTTAACTTTGGTGATTGTATAGGAATCTGTTTTTCAATGTTATGTGGCCATAAAGCCTCAGATTTAATGGGGCTCCTTTAAATTAATTTAAAATAATTTAGAGTATTTGACCCCACTAGTTGGAATGGGTCTTTTAGTTAGAGGGTTACTGAATGAGGTTGTTGTATGAGCATAAGAGAAGGAGGTAAGAAGGTTTTGGGGAAAAACAGTGGAGTGGTTTCCTGTTGCTTTCTCCGTGGTTTGGAATTCTAAGTTTGTTCTTTTCTTAGACTGGATGCCAAGCCTGCCCAAGGGATAGATATACACCGGCCACACACTTTTTTTTAACAGCATTAGTGCAAAAGTGAATGCAACAGACTTGCCTGGAATTTGAACTCGTCTCACAGATTTAACCTTCTGAACCAATAACAGAAGTACAAAAGGGAGAAAAAAATTATTAAAACTGAAAAAATAAAGATAAATAAAATAAAAAATTAAAAAATAAAAATAAATAGAAAAATAAAATAAAAATAAATAGAAAAATAAAATAAAAATAAAGTAAAAATATAGTAAAAATAAAATGAACAAATAAGTAAAAAAAAAAAAAAAAAAAAAAAAAAAAAATAAAAAAAAATCAAGTAAAAATAAATAAAAAGTTACAAAAATTAAAATGCAGAGAAATAAAAATACCTGGGATTATAAAAATATCTGTGAACTAGAAAATTTAAATAAACATCACTACAAGTAACTGTAATTGTAGGCTTTCATGTAAATATCCTTCTGAACCAATAACAGAATTACAAAAGGAAAACAATTATTAAAACTGCAAAAACAATAAAAGATAAAAAAAATAAATGAATAAAAAGTTACAAAAATGAAAATGCAAAAAAATAAAACTACCTGGGCTGATTCCATGTTCAGCACATAACTGCTTCCAAAACTCCATTCCAACTGAAAATACAACAAATATAAAGTCAGATATTTTGGCATCATTTTCAGGAAAAAGAACAAACTTAAACACTTTTTTCATTTTTTTGTTTTTGTTTTTTGCATTCACCTCAAGTAAGGCAGTACAACCACTAAGACAGAGGGGGTTAGTGTGTGCGGAAGTATTAGAAAACAGAAACATTACTAAGGAGGGAAAACTAAAGGAGAATAAAAGGACAGTAGATAGTGATCAACATTACATTTAATTTTTTGAAGATTAAAGTTGATTGGAAAACATGGAGCTGGAAGGGAGTTCCACAAGCAAGAAAAGAAACTGTTAGCAAAGAACTTATGGTTACATCTAGCCAACTCAAATGTAAATTGATGACGCTTCACTTAATAATTAATTATGTAATTATTTACATTATTTACATTGTTCAGATGGTTGTCCTCATTGTTACCCTATTCACAATGTTTGGACTGTTGTGTACTCTGGCCTACTTCAAGTGATGAAATAAATGGCATTAGAATCCACATCATTAAAGCCAACTCTATAGCTGAGATATATTGATGACACCTTTAAACTGGCCACACAATGAAGAGGTCCTGCTACTATAGGACCATGTGAACTCAATAAGATTGATACAGTTCACAATGGAGAAAGAAAACAACAAACTAGCATTCCTGGATGTACTAATATCTTGAACAGAGCATGGGTTCAAGATATCAGTATACTGTAAACCAACATTCACTGGACAATACCTCAACTTCAAATCCCACCACACATACAGTGTAAAGAAAGGGATTGTTCACTGCCTACAACATTGAGCAGAAGTCATAAGTGGTGACCCAGAGACATATGAACAAGAGATGGTAAGTATAAGCAGTACCTTACAACGTAACAACTACTCTACATGACAGCAGCTCTGACAAACTGAGATAGAAGAGTGCAAGAGGATAACAACACTCAGAAAACAGCTTCAGTATGCCTACCCTATGTGAAAAGATTATCAAAAAGATGTGTGGTTCATATAACATCAGGATAAACTTCAAAAGTAGTTCAACACTTTGCAGACACCTCTTCTGAGTAAGATCTCCCATACAGGAGAATATTATTAAGAACAGTGTGTATGCCATCCCATGCAACTGTGGCAAGAATGGAGAAATATGCTGCCCTCTTAAGATAAGACTGCAGAAACACCATAAAGCCATAACACAAGGGGAAATAGAAAAATCAGGTGTGGCAGACCACATGTGGAGGGAAAAGGGAGATTGCTGCCTCCTGTGGGATGAGGTTGAAATAATAGACAGTGAACATCACTGAAAAATACAAAAAGCTTAAAGAATCAGCACATATGTTAGGCCACAAATATCTCCTAAACTGTCTAAGCATAGACATGAATACAATATGGGAAGCAGTAATATGGAGTGCTAGAGAAAAATAATAATACCAAATTGTAAAATTTTTCTGGTTAAAAAAAAAAAAAAAGGTTACTGAGACATTAGGCTTATTAGTCCCAAAAATTCATACACACTGATATCTAACCTGGTGGATGAAATAAAAAGGGTTCGATTCAAAATCGCAATCACCCAAAGAAAGCCAGAGTGTACAACAGTCAAAACGAATATGCCAACAAAGCTGAGGACAACAGTCCAAATAATGTAAATAAAAAATAACTAAAAAAATTCAACGACAAAAAATAACTGTAGTTAAAATAACAACTGTGGTTTTACTTTTATTTTGTTTAATTTTCAGTTTACCATACAAAACATTTTCTACAAACCAAATACTGAATTATCTCCCTTACATTTTTTTTAATACTAATCTCATATTCTGAGACTTTTCTTCTTCTATTTTAACAATCAGAAACACAAACAAAAGTTTTTCAAAAGATTTTAATATGCTGTTTTAGTTTTACATTTTTATTTCTGATGTATAATGTTTCCTTTTTTAGAAAAAAAAATAGGGGGTAGATCTGACTATTTTAAAAATTTATCTTTGTTTTACAAACTATGAAACTTATTAGTGACAAATATTGAATGATGAATATATGAATTATTAATTATATTTCTTCAGTTTTGTTTTAATGGGGGAAGAAATGATTATGAAAATGAATTGGAACTACTTCTTAGACTGGGGCACTCAAAAAATAAGTCACTATTTTTTTTAAACTTGTGAAACATTTTTGGGGCAATATTTTGCAGATTAGCATTAGAATTTTCTTAGGCCACAATACTTTTCAGAAATGAGAAATATGAATTTTTTTTTATTTTTTTTAAACATTTTTGAAGGCAAGTAATGTTCATAATATCGATAAAATCGATCAATCTTTTTTTTTTTTAACAGAGTTATTGGATTTTTCTTAGCTCTTCTACAGATTTATTTTTTTTAAAAAAAAGATTTTTTAAATTAAGAACACAAATTTATATAATAAAAAAGTATTCATTTAAGATAATTATCCCCCAAAAATACTTGCATCCTAAAGTTTCTAAAAATTCAGAAAAATAAAAAAATATGCAGAATGATTTACATTATTGTGTAAATGTAAATTGTAGTTTCAAACTTGGTATTTGTAAATAACAACAAGGTTCAATTTCATTAACCGTAAAAAGTCAGGGATCGATTATATCGATATTATCAATAAAACACCCCATTCTTTATTAAATCGATAAAAATATAAATATTTTTCAGTTCTGGATAAGCATATTTTTAAGTAGTGCCAAAAATTATGCAACCACCATCTTTAGAAAAAAAAAAAAGAAAAAAAAGAAAAGAGTTTTATATTGTATTATAAATTATTTCTATTTTATTGATAAGGTTCTGGGCGAGTTTTCACATTTGTTGATTGTAATTATTTTCATTCAAGGATTTTTCTTTAACTAAAAAGAAAATCGCGACTTCACCCCGGACACGAGATATTGAAAGGGGGTGAAACTGACCCACAAACAAAATATATTTCTACAAAGTTTTTTTTTTTTAATAAAATAACCTATTCATCCATCAATGAATAAATACTTTTTTTTTTTCTAACTGGATAATTCTTTGATTTTTACTTTCATTTCGCCCCCCCCAAAAAAAAACAAAAATAAAACGCAACCATTTTATTTTTAAATTTTTGGTGGTACCTAACTTGCTTCATTAGTATAATAAACTAAGTCAAAAAAAAAAAAAAAAAAAAAGGAAAGACAAAAGAGGATGAGAATCAACAAAAAAACTAAGTTGGTGATATCATGAGGTATTGCTGGGGTTGCAATTGGTAATAATTAGCCCCGATACCAGGACTGACCCTATGTTTTTATTTTTTTTACTCAACTGCTTTCGTTGCAGCATGGATAAACAATTGTCATTTTAACATTTTTAAAAATCATTTAATTTATGAATTCAATAATTAATATTCAAATAAGATTATTATTATTATATAAAAAAGAATATTTTCTTGTTATTTAGAAGCTGTAAAATGTGAAATGACTGCTGTTGAAGAACAGGAAGAAACAAAGTGCGTAAAAAAAAAAGCCTGAAGAATTCTTTTACGGAGACAGGATGAAGTTATTCGCCTTAAAACGATGAGACGACCAAAAAGTTTTTAAAGTTTAACGTCATTTTCTTTAAGAAATAGCTTAAAAAATGATATAATTTAATTAACAGAATAAGTTTATTTTAATTTTTGTTTCCTCAAAATAAATTTAAATTTTGTCTTTCTTTAAGAAAAAAAATCAACAGTTACAAACACTAATAATTTTTAGCAAGATTACTCAATTTTTTTGTCTGAGCAATTTGTTTTGGACGAAGTATAAAGAATGAATATAGATTTAAATTACTCGTTTATTATTTTAATTAATTAAACAGTTATTTAATAAACATCTATTTTGAAAATATCAGAAAAAAATATTTTTTTAAAATCTAATTAATAATAAAAAAAAAACTGTTACCAAAACTATATTTTAATTTTTAAGTAAATTAATAAAACTGAAAGCATATTTTAAAATCTACCAAATAAATATCAAAGAAAAATAATTAAAATATTGAATTTGTTAAAGGAAATAATCAAAGCAAAAACAAAAAAGGTGGGTCCGATGTATTTTTTGAAAAATTTTATTTTTTTTCAACAAAAAAAAAAAAAAAAAAAAAGGAGACATACGGATGTGTGTCGAATCGTAAACACGATGAGTAAAATAAAAAAGCAAAAAATAAAATTTGACAAAAACTAAACATTATTGACTTACTCTGGTTGCCACATTGGCCCAGTTGTAGTGTAATCATTTCCCGTGGCATGATGATGTAAGTTCATTAATTCAAAAATATTTTTAAAAAACTATTTCAATTAAAACTTTCCTTTCATCAACACTCAGAAAATCTTCGAAAATGGCGGCAAATGAACGTTTCATGTCTCAGCATGCACCGGTATTCCAAAATAGAAACGAGGTTTTCATTCTGATATTCTTTTATTCTAGAATTGATGTACAACAGAATTACTTTTCTTTGTTTACTTACTCCGGTTTAGTTTCTGGCACAAGGCCAGAATTGTGAAGCATTCAGTGAAGATTGAACTCACTTCAAAAGTAATAATCTACGTTAGATTAAATTTCTAAGCATTATGACTTGGCCAAACGAACAAAGTTTTATTGCTTTACAACAGGATTTTTAATTATAAAATTAAAAAATAATTATAAAATTCAAAATAAAGGAATTTAAATTAATGCAATCAATAATTAATAAAATTAATAAGACAGAGCAAGACGGAAGATTTAAATAATGCTATGTATTTCATTTCAGGACATAGGCGGTCATGACTCTCCAGTCTCCATCGTTATTTTTCTTCATTATCTGCGAATTACCATATAGTCTTGAGATAGATAGTGGAGTGGTCTCCCATTGCTTTCAGAGTATTTACTTCTTTTAGACTGGTTGCTATCCAAGGTAGAGAAAACAATTATGTTATTTAACCCATAGCTGGGAGTAGAAGAGACAGATTCATGCTTTTTCCAAGGATATCTGTATAAATGGTAATGGTAATATTAGCCTAAAATGTTATATATATATATATATATATATATATATATATATATATATATATATATATATATATATAAAATAAAGTATTAACATATATTATGGACATATTAACAGATTTTAGGGTTTGATAAACACATAGCTTCTGCAAAAAAAATAAATGAATAAAATAAATAAACGAAAGACTTCAGTCAATGAAAATGACTTTCACCTAAAACCAAAAAAAACCTTCTTTTGAGGCCTACGATGGTCATGAAGTAAGCAGAAATGTAATAATGTTTAACCTTCATGTCTGCAAAAAAAGGTGCATCAAATGAATGGTTATTCCCTTGACACTACTATTATTGTGTGTACATTTTTGACTCCTTTGATAATGTTTATGTACACAATTATAGAAATATGTTAACCAAATACAATGTAATATTTATTATTTAACTTTTATATAGATTTTATTATTTACAATTTTATAAAGAAATAAATTTAAAAAGAAATCTTTTTATTGAACAGTTTATAAAAATTTTCCAAATTATCAAAATATGTAAATTAACTTTTTTCTTTTTATGTGCCATGTCCTTTCAGGATGTAGGTGATCATGGCTCTCCACTTCCCCCTATCCCTTGTTGCTCTCAATAAGTTTTGTGCCTCTCCCAGACAATGTTCTGGCATCCACTTGCTTAAGCCTTCCATGTATGTCATGCGCTGCTTTCCCTTGTCTTTTTTCCCTCTGTTTGACCTGTGAGTATCAGATTCTCCAGGTCCTCCTTTCTCATTATATGTCCCAAAAATTTAATCTGCCCCTTCCTTATGTTAAGTATAAGCTTCCTCCTTGTTTGCATCCTCTCCAAGACCTCATGCTCACATGCTTGCTCTATGATATCCTTAGCATTCTTCTGTAGAACCACATCTTCGCTGCTTCAAGTCTCTTCTTCATTTTTGAGGAGACTGTCCAACATTCACTGCCGTAAAGAAGGACAGATGTCACGTAAGAGCTTGTCGGAGTTAGCTCCTCCTTAGCTCCTTACCTTTCAACAGGGGTCTCTCTCCCCTGGCTATAAATACTCGCTGACCCTTCGCCTCTTCCTCTTTTTCCCTCAGGCCTTTGGGCCGCCACCTTGAGATAAATCTCTTTTCCACAAGCTTTCAGCCTTACCGCTTCGCAGATGTGAACGCTCACAGATACAGCGTTTCCCAAATGCTGGGAACACGCTAAGAACAATACACATATGTACGAACACTCACCACAACACACGCATATAATATTCACCACACACACACTCTGTCCATGTAACTTGTAACCTTTCTTGTTATTAATACATATATTTGTTTACATATATTTATCGGTATTGTGTTTGTTTTTCTTTGCCTTCTTTGGACTTAATTAAAGTCCAACTTTCTCATGTAGTTGGTCTGGCTAGCAGGAAATTTCTACCCACATGTATTCTTTTACTTCTACAATACATAAACATCTACTTCTATACTCAACATTGCCGACACAGCCCGCTACAAGCTCAGTACTCTTTTCTTTGTCACCAAAGAAATCCTCCTGTCTTGCAGTACTCTTCCCAGCTTTTGGAATGCATCCTTGGCCATCCCAATCCATCTTTGGATCTCAGCATTGCATCTACTGTCCTCTGTCAAAACCATCCCCAGAAATTAACTACAATACAGTATTTATTATTTAGTATTTTATAAATAACTATGAAAATAATTTTTTATCCAATTAATAAATAAATAGTGCTTAATATCTTTATTGTCAATAAAATAAAGGAAATGTATAAATCCACTTTCATAGATTTAGGTTTTATTAAAATTCTAAACCATCACTTTTTAAAACAGTAAACATTGTTGAAGGAGTCAAAAGTGTATACAGTAATAGTGGTATCAGAAGAATAACCAACTTTTAACATCGAGAGATCTTTTTCAATTGCCACACAGATTACATTGATTTCCTCTCCTCTATATCATATATGATAGAATAGGCATTATAGGGCTGATGATATACTTTTTGCCATATATGATACACACCTGTCATTAAAGGGTTTATAATATACCTTTTTTCCATATATGATACAGTCAGCTTAAAAATTTAAAGACCATATCATTGCTATGCCATTTTATGATCCTTTATTTAAAAGAATTCCCTATTATTGAAATAATTATAATAAACATTATTAATTTTGTCCTAATTATATAAGTGTGACACAAAAAATATAAATAAATGAATACACAATGGTAATTATTATATTGTGTTGATTATTAAATATATTGACAGATTTTATGATTTGGTAAATGTTTTCATGTCATAAAGATGAGAAGTAAGCCTATGATAGACTACAAGTAAGCAGTAAATTTAATCTCACTGAGAGATCATTTCCAATTGCCTTCATTAGACTACCTGCATGTGCAGGTAGTGTAATGGCTCAGAATAACTGCTCAGAATGAGAAATCAAAGAACTGAATTTGAATTCTCGTCAAGTTCATTACATTCACTTATGCACAAATACCTTGTGGAAAGGTATGAATCCATCTCTTCTCCCCAGTTATGGGTTAAATAGTAAGGAAGACAGAAGTCTGTATCCATGGTTGGCTCCCAATCTAAGATAAATTCAAAATTTGAAAAGTCCTCCAATCTATTTTTAAGAAAAGATTTTGGCAAACTTGGTTTGATTTTGGTATCTCCAATTTGTAATTTGCATGTTGGGCTCTCCCTTTTGCTAACAATCTGTTATAGTGGAACACACCTATTCTGTAGTTAATAGACTCTCCCACCTATAATAAGTAGTAGTAGTAGTAGCAGTGGCTCAGTGAGTTGGTCAGTCAGTCGATGCTGGACGACCGTTAGTCGGATATTAAAGTATCAGCAACCACCACTAGATTTCTCTGTGTCATTACCTATTATATCAAGTTCCTAACATTTTGTACGTTGAACCTATTTTAGGACCGACTTAGTACAAATACAAGCCTCCACTGTGAAACTACTCTACAACACAATCATGTATTCTACCTTCTTGTAGTGGATGTTTAGTCCTTTCTTCTTACTTTCCTTCACTATTTTCTGTAAGAGGTTTTGTAGTTTTCTTTTTGTGTCTGTTATCAACACTGTCATCTGCATATCTTATATTGTTAAGATTGTGGCTGCTAATAATGAATTCTGGTCAGTCAGTTATGTGCCATGCGTGATACATGCTTTGGTGATCATGTATCGAAAGATACATGATTGACAAGACAGATTTTTTTCTGCAGTAGGTTGCCATTTTTTTCTGCAGTAGACCAGATGCCATCCAAGGCTATAGAACCTGATCTGTTTTTCTATTTCCCCATAGCTGGGGGGGTGGGGGCTAGAACAGGATTCATACCTTTCCCAAGGGCATTAGGACGTATACAGTGAATGCAATAGATTCAACTGGAATTCGAACTTAGCTCTCTGATTCCATAATCCAAGCCGCTAAACATTACTCCTCCATTCCTCCTAATGAATCTTAGTAGGATTTCTAATTCTCTCAGAGTCGCCTCATTGTTTAGGTGGAAGAATAAGTCTGGCAAGAAGAAATATTGTTGCAGATTGGCGAATGTATTTTGTGTATAAGAAGGTTAGGTTATCAGAAGGCTTAGAAATGTAGGTGTTCACAAGACAGTCATCCATAACAAATATAAAAATAAGAACATTGAAGGTAAAATCATTCAGGAGGAATCAAAAATGAGGAGAACGTGATTAAAGGTTTAACAAATAACATTCATTTTATATCAAGTGAATATACACAATCAAGATAGATATTGCTGATCAAGTGCGACCAGTTGTAATAAAATATGTAGAAAGATTATGCTGAGTTTCAATGTGTGTAGGCTTGTGGTTAGGATTTGTGTATGAAATTAAACAAGATGTTTTATTGTATTACAAAATGTCTTTTGTTGGAGTTCAGTCATGAGTGTGTATGTGTGCGTTTGTTAAAGTTACTGTTCAAAGTTTGTAAGAGTTGTGTACCTTTAGCTGTTGTCTTGATGTTGGATTGAGATTTACAAATACTGTTTAGTAGTGGTCCAATTCACTTTCTTTAGTATGTTGTAAGTAATGTTCCTGAGAGAGCAAAGTGCTGTTTGTCGAGTCAGAAGAATTAGCGCACGAAAAGTGTAGTTAGGTCAAAGTTTTGCCTAGCATGGATTTGTTTAGCATCTCTCCAGGGTTGAAGTTCTGACTGAATCAAATTGAAATGCTTCTATTTATTGAGTTTGTGGTCTCAGAATTGGCTCCAAAAGCGGTACAT